GGGGGGGGGGGGGGGGGGGGAGGAGAGAGGTGAGGCGTGGGTGGGTGGGGGCGGGCGGGGGGGGGGGGGGGGGGGGGGGGGGGACTGACATAGCTTAACATGCATCTTTCAATGCAGGAATGTCAAATGTGCTGCCCAGAAAAATCAGTCAGTAGACAACCGTTCATGTTTAGGGAGAGAAGAAAATAGACAATGGCTTGGAAGCAGGACCATTCTTGCCAAGGGAGATATTAAAAATAATTCTGCTCTTAACAGGGGCCTATGCTAATTCTTTTGTTTTGAAAAGCTACAATGACAACAGCTGGTTTGAATCACTTCTTTGAAAAGGACAAGGCCGAAATGAGTGAGATCTGTGGATTTAGGGGGAAGAGTCAACGCAAAGATCCAGGGATAAGCTCCCAAGAACAACCTGCCTGAGCACATCGGCCAGAAGAAACAGAATGGCCCTTCTTTGGAGAGTTCTTCAAATCATTCCATGCAGAGCGTTTCTATTTAATTATTCACACCCCTCCCCCTGATATGGAAATGTTGTAATTGGGTTCCTGAGGGCACAATGAGAGTTGATTAGGCCTTGATTAACATTCAGGTTTAAAACAAACACAGCCCTTACTCCATACGGTGAGGGCAGCAGATGCGTGCAGGATCCCTCTGGAGTTGACTGCCCAGCAGGAATAGTTGCCAGCGTCTTGCACGAAGGCCGGTGTGATCTGGAGCCCTCCAGACTCGAGGAGAAGGAATCTGGGAATCTGAACGGACCCGCTGGCCAGAATCTGGTTCCCTGAAACATAGCGTGCGGAGACAGCGTCAATGCTCTGAGGAAGGCGTTGACGCTGCGCTCATTCCTCTTGGAGGACAAAGGCAACTGTAATCGTTCCCCAACCGAATATGAAGGCGTTACCCCTTTTCCATGCAATGGCAGGCTTCGGTGCTCCGGAAACATCGCATCTTAAAACCGCGGTCATCCCTTCGGTAACCGTGGTATCCGCTGGTGGCTGGGAAAAGGTGGGTGCAATATCTGGAAAGGAGAGCAGGTGCGGGTGTTTACGGAGGTCGCTGGATCAGCCTTTTGAGTGGTCACTAGGTTGTTGTCCATTTTTGTGTCCATTTTTACCATACTAATGTGGCCATGGCAATACGTAAACCTTTCCACAAGCTTTTTTTGAACTTCACGTTATCCATCTCCTAGGAATTCTCCAACTTGGATTACTGGCTAAATGAAGACTATAAACTCTATCAGCACCCCTACAAGGATGAGCAAGAGGACTCTGAAGTACAGCAAGCTGGTTTAAGAAGAGGACTGGGGAGAAAATAAACAAACTGAAACAAAAAGAACTATTTGCTTTCATCCTGATGATGTGCTTCAGTGAGATGAAAAGCCACATTAATCTGCAAAGCCAAAAGATTCCATCTGATTCTCCTCCAAGGCATTTCTGTGCTCCCACCTACCTGTAGTTCCTTGCCATGACATCTGCAGAGATCAAATAAGGCCAGCTGTACTATCTCAAGCCCAGGAACGATGCCAGATGTTCTGAAAACACCGTATGCGTTTCAAGGGAAGCTGTGATAAATTCTGCGGCAGCCCAGGGTTGCTTCCTGGAGATGCCACAGCCAGACTCCTGCCTCCCTCAGTGCCAGTTGACCCACTCCTGTGGGGAGTCATTGCTGAGGTCGAGGGAGAAAAAGAGGCTATGACTGGGCATTCAGCCATCGTGCCTGTGACCAAATTTATGCTTCATATGCAGCAGGGAATAATTTCCCCAGATGTTCTGAGTCTTAGTCCGGCTCTGTGATTAATACCCCATTCCCTGTTGCCAAGAGACCTTCAGCATAGCCTGTAACTACAACGGGCAGCCCCAGGGCCCCGTTCCTTGCTAGGGCTTCACGTGGAAGAGCCTCAGGTGAGAATGGCTTCTCCTTTCTTTCATTCCCATACTACCCAACTGCCAAAGCTCTCCGGGCAGTTTCCAAAAAAAGTTCACCGAATCTTGTCAGAATACAAACATTATGAAACAAACAAGCGAAATAAAAACGTTTAAAAGCCCCAACTAAAAACCACAGAACAGCCATGTAGAAAACCACATGCAATGAGGAATACTCGTGTAAAAAAACCCAAGGATATCTACAAAAGCTTAGGCAAAAAGGACCACCTTAAGCTGACACTAAGAAGACAATAAACTGGGCACCAGCCAGGCCTCAGTGGGGAGCTCATTCCACATTGGGGAGGGGACCGGGCAACACAAAGGAAGACTATGGTGGTCCTTCTATGCCACTGTGACCACCTGAGCCTCTGGGCGCTGTCCTCTGAGCCTCCCTTGGAGCCGGCTCTCCGAGGAAGGCCCCAGATGTGGAACAAGGCTTCAGGATAGACTGCAGCTGGGAGAGGTGCTCAGTTAAGTATTATGGTCCCAGGCCAGGCAAGGTTTTATAGGTAAAGCCCAACACCTTAAGCTGGGCTCAGAAGCACAAAGGCAGCCAGAGCTTCTGATACATTCAGACCTCCCGGTTCCAGCCTGGCTATCACATTTTGCACAAGTGGCAGCTTCTGAGTGGTCTTGAAGGGCAGTCCCATTGCAGCAATCTAATTTGGCACTTACCGGGGTGTGGATTACTGCAACTGGGCTATCCCTGTCCGGGTAGAGGTGTAGCTGGGCCATCATTCTATGACACTGCGGCCACCTGAGCCACAAGTGACCAGGATGGGTCAAGGAGAACACCCTGCTTCTTCAGGGGGAGAGCAGCCCCATCCCTTCAAATCTCCAAGTAGCTGGGCTGACTGGCAGGCCACTGTGCCGGGGAAGATGGTGTACTGGGGTGACTCCTCCACTCTCACCTTTGCCGGCACACCTGTGTCGTCAGCAGTGGTTCGGCAGGGAGGGCCTCAGGAGGGTGTGGTGGCAGCAGGTCTCCTGCCCAGCGTGGGCGCTACAGGGAGTCCTTTGAGGCACGTGTGGTCTTGAGGAAACTGGCCACTCATATGCCCCCGGGGGTTTGATGAGGCTTCGATTTAACACCAGCTGGCCCAGGACTGGTGGGGCGGCACACAGATGTGGGAGAGGTGGGTTGCGAGCAGAGGTGGGGCAAGAGAAAGGAAGACGGGATGCACTTGATTGGATTTTGTTGTTGCTTTATTGATGGGCAGGTAATATATGGGGATGAATGAATGCAAATAAATTCTGTCTGGCATTGTGTCAGGCTTACAGGGCTGACAGATGTTCTTCCAACTCCATTTATGAAAGGCTGCATTTCTCAGCATCCTCAAGGGCAGCATAATTCTAACAAAGTTGCCGAGCGTTGTAAAATGATAAAATCATACCGTGACAAAGAAGGGTCAGGCACGTGCTTCTTTTGGGACACAACATTTACAATGCAGAATCTTTCAATCGGGTTCTTCCAAGCAATATTCTGTCAGGAGCAATTCGTGCACAATTCCAGATCTTTTCCCATAGAAAAGACTTCTTGAAGTGTGCAAGCCTGTGGCCCCTGGATACTGTCCAGAGGCCAAAGGAAAAGTTTGAGTCTGCATGCACATTGGCAAAGCCCTCCGAGGCTAGAGCCGGGACGCTGCCTTAGCTGCCCCCTCCCTCCGCACTTGCAGCTGGTGTGGCTCTTTCTGTGCCAGTTGCAGCTCCGAAGTTGCAGGATCGACTCTGGAGCTGCCACTGGGGATGGGGGAGGCAGGGAATGGGGCGGAGAGGAATGAGGCCTGCTGGCTCACAAGCTGGTGTGAAATGCTTTGAGGGCTGCAGTCCTCTGAGGCGAGCCAGATACCACTAAAGGCAGCGACCTTAAACTGGGCAGCCCCTCAATGTTACCAGGCAGTAGGCACTGATTCATTCTAGATATTTAGGGCTAACCTGTTTGTGTGTACATTATATAACATGAACCAAGTTATTCTTCCAAAGAAATGTAGTGTGTGCATTTTAAAAAGCTACTTGAATTGATTTTATTTTATCCTTCTTTGAAAGAAATGAGCTACTTGAAAACTTGCGAATGGTTGTCGGTATTAATGGGTTCCTGGAAAGAGTTAACCTTTGCAGGTTCCTCCTGGGTTCTCACTGCATGTTTGAAGAAGTCAGTCAATTCTCAGAAGAATTTCCTCCTGAGGATGGCTGGTTGCCTTGTATTTTCCAACAATGGCCTTTCAGGGATGTTTAAACAATATGTACAAACAGAGGTAACTCTCAAGGCTCCTTTCCACAGAGCCCCAAGAAATGTAGGTCTGTGACAAGGCTGGGGACCTTTAATACAGACATTCTAGGTTTCACCCTATGAGGTTTCCTTAATTGCTTGAGCAGAGCTTTAAACACTGAACAACTTTGTGTCATGCTCTACGGAAGTCCCTCCGAATGTCCCCCGCACGCCAAACACTCAATCCCAAAGCCTACTTAGGAAGAAAGCAATGTGTGAGGAGCCGTTTCCCCCCCGGACAAACGAGGTGAGATGGAGGAACTACCACCCCAGAACTTTTCCTCCATCTCCTCTAGACTTGCACAGGTTATGTGAAGGGCTGGACTTACTAGTAACGTCCAGGACGGTGCGGCTCTGCATCTCCCCAGCCTCATTCTTTGCAAAACATTGAAAGATGCCAGAATCTTCAGGTTGCACTCCCTGGATCTGAAGACTCCCGTTGAGCAGAACTTTGTAACGTGGATTCAGGAGTGTGTGGACAGGAACGGCATCTTTATACCAAGCCAAAGTAGGTGGCGGGGCACCTGTACAAAACAACAACATGTTCAACGTCTGGACACGCAGAAGTCATTGCTTTATGCAAATGCCCTAGTGCCAATTAGAGGCCTTTTAGATACACCGTGCTCCGTAAATAACTGCTAGAAAGCACACATTATGTTGTCACCAAAAAAAAAAGCATGGCAGGGAATGCACAAAAGGTGCTCTCTTATCCTTTTATTTGCTCAATCAAACTGCATGACATGATTAGACAAGCCTTGGATTAAACATCTCAGTTGAGAAACTGAGATAATCATGTCAAATGTGCCTTTGCAAGGTCAAAGAACATGGCAGTGAGCATTGGCAAAACCCAAGCTGTATTGGCAAAACCCAAGCTGTATGCCTTTACACTCTCACTAGCACATGTAACCCATTGACCTGATAAGACTTATTTCTGAGAAAAATGAGTGACAGTTTAGGGAGTATGCAGAGAATTCTACATGTTGTCTCAACAGCCCCTGAGTTGAAGCACACGGGAAAACAGAAGCTGGGAGAGAGTGACTTGCTTAAAACCACCAGGCGAGCAACATCCACGGCCATGACTTCACTGTTGTCACCCATGTTGCAAGGTAGGCAAATTCTCCTTCATCCGATTGGTTAGGAGTGATATACGAACACCAAATAATGAAGGACAAAGCAAGGTTAGAAGGATGCAAGTCAACGAGCCTTATCAGTGTATTCCTAGCTAGATAAAGTAAACTTAATTACTTCAATAGAGGAACAGGCTGGCTTCTAATTGATCAAATAATTGGACAAGGAATAGAGACCACGCAGGACTTCCATTGCAACTAAGAACTCATTTGCAAGGAGCTTGATATGAACACTGGGTTTGCCTACTCGGAAGCACTTCTGGGTTCAGGTTAGTCTAAGCAGCGGATCCATGGTCCCCTGGTTTTGTGGGTTGGGCAGAAGAGTCCTGATGCGAAGGCGTCTGCTTTTTGAACTCAGTGTACTTCCTGCCCCAAGCCGACGGAGACGGATGGAGAATGCAAGACACATTCTCAGATGCAGAATGTGATTACTCCCCTCCAGAACATAACAAATGAGAGAAACACTTTTAAAAAGCGAGGGGGGGGGATATTTGAGCGGGTCATGAAATTATATTTCTGTACAAGGAAGTAATCAGTTTCCGAAATCGCATCTGAGCTTCTATTTTGCTTGAATAATAAAGCTATTTATTGCTGAAGAGAATCGTTGTTGGAGTGCAAAGTGTGTTGTTTGATGCAAAAAAGATGCAGTGTGCCACTGTGAAATAAACACAATTTAAAATTCATATGAAAGGCCCATTCATAGAATTTGTGTAGAGTCTGATTGTCAGAATTTTCAGCGCAAATGTTCTTCATTCCATGGAAGCCCCTTGGGCAAATATAAATTGCCACTGAATAATAAGGAAATATGGAGCAAAATTGGAATAGTCCTCTAGATAGAGAGCAGTGGAAATGGTTTGTTGTTTAAATAACAGCATTCCATTATATTTGATAGGAAATACAATAAAGCAAAAATCTGGCATTTCACACATTCCACAAATCCCCTCTGACCATTTAAAAAGTTAAGAAAAAATAATAATTTTATCAGAGATAGGTGTCTTTCCAACTGTAACTGAAGCAGCAAACCTTAGTATTTTCTCTGAAGTATTTCCTATTCTTCAGCCCAAGTGTGATCGCCAAGTTGTCCCACTTTCTCAACATTATAGATCCTGACAGAGAAGTCATACATTCCTTCATGCTTTAATCAACTTCCTGAAGAAAGCCATGGATCAGCCCCCACATCTGTCTGTGCGAGGCAAAGTCCTCAGTCCTGAACTGAGAAGAGCAGACAATGGGAAACCTATGCACAATATTTTCCCTCTGAGGCTTCAAGAGCTTGCAAAAGATTCTGAGGATTCTACGTCTCCAAGTCACATCATCACAAACAGAGGGAAGGTGCTTTACAAAAAATCTTTGAGAAAGACATCAGGGAAGACGTCTGCTGGTGAGGCCAGATGTGCCACAGCTGCAAGTCTGAAATGACGACGGATGCTCAAGATCACTGCAGGTACAAATGGCACACAAGAGGTGACCTGTCACAGCCATCAAGAGGACAAGGGACTTCAGATCTCGGAAGCAGCTTTACTAGCTCTCCCAGCCACAACTCAGGACACATTTTCCAAGTACTGTTGTGCACATGCACGTGTGTGTGTGTTTTATCATGGCAACCCAGGAAAATATACAACTGGACTTTTTATTTTCTTCTCAGCTGAGAAAAGGCAAACAATAACACTTTGGAAAGGGTTCATCTAAGTAATCTGCTTTCACAACCAATCAGCACAGTCAATCCTTGGCCAGAGGGACCCAAGGCCTCTCTCAGAGTAAATTAGCTTCCTACCAAGAAAGCTTTTTTTAACATTTCCGAGCAATTGTTTTTCCTTACATGCAAATTTCAGCGGCGTTACCTGACTAATCAACTGGAACGCATGCGATTAACTGAGTCAGATTTCATGAATCTGGTGATGGGCCTGGGATTGCACCTTGGAAGAGCAGGCTCAGCCGCGAGTGCTGACATGCATGGAGCTGAAACTTGGCAAATGAGAAACTGGCGGGAGGGGTCCACAGGTCTGGGAGAACTCGGAAGCTAGAGAAGTGCCAGAAATCCTTAACGTGACCACCAAAAGAGCCCGCAAGGGAGAAGGGACAGCGAAAGCAGCAAAATGAGAACTGGCCACATTCAGTGGCTGCAGGAGGCCAAGGGAGGCTGGAGAGGGGAAATGGAAAATGCTGTTGGTGGCCGCAGGGGAAAGAGCAGTCCCATGCCGGGCTGGCTGGCTTGCTGGCTGGAGTGTTGGGCAAGCAAGCGGGTCTGCCTATTAATAATAGCCTGGCCGGAATATGTGCCATGGGGCAGCGCATCCCCCGGATGCAAAACAGTGATGGCTCTGAGGAGGACCGTCCAGCGCCATCTTCTGGCATTCAGGTGACATTAAGAAGCAAGAGAAATGATTTGGGGCAGGGGGAGGAAGGGGCAGAGCAGGACCAGCAGTTTCCCCTGCATCACAGCCTCCATCCCTCCTCCTCAGCAGAGGTTCGTCTGGAGGACCAGATGAGATGCAGGGGGTGAGGTACCCAGCCGTGGAGCCAGGCAGCTCTGCCGTCCCTCCATCCTGCCCTCGATGCGCAGAAGCATCCGCGCCCACAAGCTTCCATGCATCAAGGGTGGGGGATAGACTGGCTCACATCCTTGGCCAATTGATTTAGATTTCCTGTTCGGCACATTTAATTTATCGATTCCTTAATGTCAAGTTTCTTTGCTGGTGGTCAACATTTTGCTTGGACAATCTTAGCGAGGATTAATCCATCCTCTGCTAGGCAGTTAAGGCTGCAGTCAGTAGGCAGAAAGTCCCACTGAACTCTGGGGGACTTACTTCCCAGTAGACCTGCGCGGGGTTGCACTGCGAGCCTGCTCTCCTACGCAGTCAGTTCCCGCAAACTCGGGGGCTTGTACTTCGGGATACGTATGTATAAGACAGCGCTGTTAATGGCTCTGATGTAATAACTGTGTGTAGACCTAGGCTGTATTACTTCTGTAATTGTGTAAGGTTTGTTTTAACAACTGCTCCATGTTCTTGGAGAATTATTGGCTCCACTAACACTCTTTTCCCAACCACACTAGGATTCCAGCGCAGGTAATTAAAAAACCCTTTAACCACCACCCTCATTGCTGACAATATATAAATCCAGATAATACACATCTTCTAAGAGATTCTGTACCTGCAACAGGAATTGTCTCCAAGGAACTTTGTTCCCACAGAAATTCCATTTACAGTAAAGTAAAAAAGCCATCCCTTCCAGGTGGTAACTTTATTTATAGTTAATCTAGTTGCATCGAGTAAATTTAATCATCCTCTTTCCCACTCGCAGAGCACAAAGAGGGAATAAATAGGTCCTGTGCCAAAGAACCCCACAGGAGTCGCAGCAAACAGAGGGTCCCTGTCTGTTTATGGCCAGGGCTGCTCCTCAAGCGCCTGTGCTGGCCCTCCCTTGCCGCCCTGATGTCCTTCTGGAAGCACCGCATACAGCAGGCGCTGGCAGGGGGAGCCCTCGTCGCACCGCCAGTGGCCTCCGCGCAGGAGAGCTGGAGAGGCTGTGCCAATCCGGACGGGGCGTGCGGCAGGTGAGGGCTGCGCCGACGGTTCTCGTTCCTTTTTATCCGCTTCGACCAAGAGGAGGGAGGCTCTCGAGGGAGGGGGTGGATGCCTGCATCATTTTTGAGGTGTCAGAGCTGAGTTTCGCTGCCCCCCACCCCACCCCACCCCACCCCGCTGCACCTCCTCTTCGCCAACAAGGCTGGAGTGGGCTGGCGTGTGTGCCGTGTGCATTTCTTGAAGGGAGGCGCTTGAAGGAGCAGGCCCTTCTGAAGCAACTCAGCCTACGGCGCTTGCATTGCAACTCCCACCATTGCTGCCTGTTGGCCATGCCGGCTGGGGCACTTGGAACTCAAGTCCAGCAGCACCCGGACGGCCACAAGTGCTGAGAGCTTGTTTCACGAGAGCAGGAGCCTCCCCTTAGTATCTCCCCCGCCTCCGCTGCCCACCTTCTCCCATCCCTTCAGCCGGCCATCAAAGCAACGCGAGCAGCAAAGGTCAAAAGATACGATCACCAGCAAAAAAGGAAACAAATATCATCATAAACTGGAAAAATGAGGTGCTCCAGTAAAAGGAATCCAGAGAACCAGCAGGCTGCTGGCCAGAGCGCTGTATGGTGTGCTTTGCTGAAGAAAAAGGTGGCATACAAATATTGTGATGAAGAAATGCTGCCAGGGAGAAAGGAAACTTGTCTCCGTCCCTGTGCTTCTGTGGGCCTGTCCCTTTGTGTGCCTGTTAGTGTGAATAAAGCGATAATCCCTCTCTTTTATTTTCCTTTGGTCTGAAGGCATCAGATCATGGCTGAATAATTTTGTAACTCATTGGGGTTTAGTTGAGGAACCTTGGGAATTTGTCCAAGGGGTTTTTTACTTGACATTCACATCTTGGTCCCCTATTTATGAAGCCAGTTAGAATCATGCAGCCACAAGGGGAGCCTGCAGCTCAAACTAATTAATGCCGCATCACTGTCCCTATATTATCGGACGGCTTTACAGCTTGGAGAAGAACAGGATCGGCGGCTTCGTGAGAGACGGCATCAGGCACCGGTGGATTCGAGGAAGGGAATCTGTCTGCAGAGTCCAGGCCATTCCTGCCTTTGCCATGGGGACAGTTCGCAAGCAGCAGCCAAGGCTGGACTGACCTTTCCCTGCCGTGCCACCCTGAAAGGGCAGGAAGGGAGACTGATGTCCGCTGGCCCGGAGGAACCTCCTGACCCACACAGAGGCTCCCGCCCTGCCTTTGCTTCCTTCCGGGACCTGGCTGTCGGCCCGCCTGGGACCATGACGCCTGCCTGTTGTCCCTCGGAACGCTGCCTGCACGTCCAGGAACTGGCCCCTTGGCCTGCCTTGGGCCGCGCTTGCTGCCTGTGGCTCTTCAGACTGCCCTGCCCTCCCTGGGACGAGGCAACACGGCATTAAGGGAGCCAGAGGCTCGCCCTGTCAGATGGCGCAAGCACACAGCTCGCCCCGACCGAAGCTGGAGGTTGACCGAATCCAGAACATCACGTCGGGGTAACAAGAAGCAGAGCTGCAGGGCACGTGCACAACACTGCACAGTAAACACGTTTTCAAACGGCCAAGTGAATCAAAAGCAGCAGCGACCACCCGTCCGCCTAGGACAGAAAACACATTCAAGTGGACGCTCTGGGAAGGGCATGCCATGCCTTCCACATCACCACTGATGTGCTCATATGGCAAACGGCGGACCTGCCAGTGCCAGAGATCTGGAATTATAGCAGCAGGTTCACACAGCTAGAGTAAGGACACATGTAAACTGCTCAGAGAAGCTGGTAAGAGCTTTTTGGAAAGTTTTACCTACATCTATGGCTGTGTGCCCTGCCTCCCAGGCTGCAGCAGTCAAAACACCCAAGCAGGGCCAATCAGTTCAGTGGGTTTACTCAAGAAAGCCTTCCATTTCTGACAAAGGCCAAGTTTACACTAATATTCAATAAATGTTTCCTCTGGGCACCTGGGTCTGACTGTCACAGCAAAAGCAAGAAAGATATCAGCAGCACTTTAGAGCCTAACAAATTTATTCTGGAATACATATTCAAAAAATTTTACCAAAAGAAATTTGTTAGCCTTTAAGGTGTCATAAGACTCTCGGTAAACACCTAGGTGTACCATTTAAAGCATTTTAGCTGTCCACCAAACCATAACGCACCTTGAAACCAACCACTTTGAAACCACTGGGAAAAGGTGCTATGCAAATCTTTTGAATACATTTATTTAAGCTATGTCCGACCTTTCTGCCAAAAATAGCACACGTGGCATCTAAGAATAAAATACTGATTAAAGTGAAATCTTAATTAAAGCATAAAACAAACTGAATGAAAGATGCAATTAAAATGCATCAATAAAGGAACTATACAACTTCAACCATATAAAACTCCCTCCAGTAACAGACCAGCTTACATGCCAAAGACCCGCCTGAATAAAAAAGTCTTTGTGTGCCACCAGAAGGGCAATAGGGAGTTAAGTCCAGCTTAGCCACCCTTGGGAGCAATTTCCAGCCCCTGGGAGAGGCCGCCAAATATGCCCTCTCCCAGATCCCATTAAGCATGCTCTGACGGTGAGGGCACTGAGAGCCCTTCCAATGTAAAACCCCAGGGAGTTTGGGATTAAACCAGAGGGGTATTTTCTATTTGCTAAACAAATAAAGCAAATAGAATAAAAATGTGTGAAGAGACCTAAAGATTGGCTCAGATGCCTACTTAATAGCAGAGTAAATTCTAGTAACATTGCAGCGCCCTGCTTTAATAAGTGGATTACACTTACTTTTAAAAAATTAGCATGCTAAAAGGTAGTGGGAACCAGGTAACTGGAATTACTCTTGGAAATAGCATTTCATTTTATGCGGACGTATAAATATTTTGAAGATTTTAGTGGCATTCAAACTCCTTCCAATTAAAATTTGAATGAACAAGTGCAGCCGCAGAAGTGTAACCACAGTTGAATTTTCCTGCAGATGACGTTTCCCTCCCACTGTAAAAGCTCCATAACGTTAAGAAACAAGGAGCAATAACTATTGCCGTTATTGTTTCTCCCCAACCCAAGTTATGGGTCCCAGAGCTGATGCTTTATGTCCATTAACGCACTTGACTCAGGACGCTAATCCTTTATAGCCAACTATATTCGTTGGATGTACCTTTTCAGGCAAGGAACATGAGGAAAGACACAACGCGGCAATTTGCCCAGCCAGCAAACATGGTTAATTTTTGCGTAGCTTAATTTTTCTCTCCTGTTGTTGTTATTCAGTTTTATTTTTCATATAAGGCTTTCTGAACTGTAATTTACGGAGTAACTAAGACAGCAGTGCTACAGTCCTGCACACACAGGTTGGACTTTGGAAGGGGAGACCAAGCAAATCCACTTGGGCCCCTCCTCTGTTCCCCTTCCCATCCCTTCGCAGCTGCAGCAGGAAGAAATTCGGTGCCTGCTTTCTGAGATCACAAGAGTCGCCTCAGGGGACCTTGCAGTGGCGGATAAGGGGGTGCTCGGGAGGTTGAGGAGCGGAGAAGAAAGGGCCCCATGGCCTCTACAGTCCCCACCCACCCACCCACTGCCAGCATGGATGGGCCCAGGGGAGGTTTGCCAGGAAAAGGAACAAGAGCAGGATGGAACGAGGAAATGCCTCTGCCAGCCCTTGCCTGGGGGGCAACAACCTTGTGAGGCTTTAGATACCTGGAGGTTTCTGGGGTTTGGAGGCTTCCACGTCACAGGGGCGCAACCCATGGATTGTGGCTGGCGAGACAAGCAGACAAGCAAACCGACCAGCCATGGTGCTCACACGCAGCGGTTGCTTGTCCTGGTGGGCAAAGAGCCCAGCAGCAACCAAAGTCCCCTCGTGGCCATGTACCACTCACCCATCGCCTGGCAACGGAGGTGCACCGTCTTCTCCACTTCAGCCAAGATCCGGCTGTCAGGTTCAACGGTAAAATACGGCGGCTCTTTAGAGAGATAAACCAAAATCAGGTAAGAAAATGCGTTTGTGTGTGTAAAGTCGCAGAGTATCGTGTGCTCACGCGCCCTGATCAAGCGTGCGCAGGGACACCCACTCGTTGCAGGGAAAGGAGGCAAGTGCTTCTGCACAACCTGCCTGTGAACTTGGATGTGTTTCACACACCGCCGCAAATGGCCTAGTTTGACTTCTATTTTGGGTTTATGGTTTCTTTTAAGTGATGGCCTCATAAAACAACCTCAACAATTATATATTATGATGAATATGAATTTCAAAGAGCACTGAGCAACTGCCAATTTATATTTAGAGTTTTACACAGCAAATTAACATCAGAGCAGGGGCTGCGATTCATTTTACAGGCGTGAATTGAAGAATATTTTAATTCTCAGCTAAGAAGGGCCATCCCAGGAGGTCCATAAAGGTTTTTTATTTACAGCAACACATTTTATGGAAGGGCTGCTTCAGTATCAATCCACCATCCCATGTAGCTTTGGATATAAAGCACCACAGCATGAGAATAAATCTGCATCAGAAACATAACACAGCAGTTTTAACAATAACCTTAACAAGGTAGCAGTAAATAGGGTAGCAGTAAAGAGTATAATACTGTTTTTGAAAGTTAGAGGTTTCGAGTAAATTCTAAAGATGAAATTAATAGAAGGAAATGGATTGGAGTGATAGTGCCCAAACTTTCAATGTTTATAGCACACTTCAGAAGTCGTTTTGTGAAACATTAAAAGCAGACTTGTGTACTTAACCACCTAAACTGCTCCAGTAAGAGAACACATTTCACCTGTTCTGTAGTTATTCTCCTGTGGGACAAATTTAGCAGGAAATGCAATCGATTGAATTTGTAGCATCAAGTAACACTGTCTCAGTAGGACTTGAGGAAAAGATTAAAGATTGCATCAAATGGCATGCTGGCTTTGGGAATCTCAAAGTTTATTCACCGGTATTCACAATGCAATGGTGAGCCTTCTGAATATGGTATGTTCCATGTAGGTTTGGATGAATTAGTCTAAAGTCTACGTGCACGTGTGTGGCTCTTTGCCCTGCATTTGCCACTGGAATCCAACAAGGTCTAAAAGGTTTTGCAGTCATGACCTGCACCCCATCCTGTCATCCAAGCATGCACCCTCACAGCTGGTATCAACCGGGTATGGCAAAATTCTGTATTGCTGTCTTGCAAGACTGGGCCGTCTTTCATGCTGTGAAGTACCTGGCTGGTTCTTGCACTGAGTGCACTGCTTTCTTTAAAGCGCCGCGTTTTTTCAGCCCAACATTTGTGGCTGTAAATGTCAGCATATATGTCGCGGTAACCAGTGTGTTGCCTCCTGTCCACAGGCACGGCCCTGTAGTTCGGCGTGTGGCTTTAAGCGGCACAGAGAACAGCGGCTGCACACGGGATATGCCGTTCCCTCGCACTGATATTACCAGCAGAAATAAATCCCCCTGCCCTTGCGTTTCCCCTGGGCCCCTGTGGAAGAGCCGCTCTCTCAGCTTTATGGCCTGTGCAGAGCGGTGAAGGCCAGCAAAATTGCAAAGGCTTTGGCTCGTCGTGAGAGATGGGTTCATTAGCAAGGCAGTCCTAGTCCCAGGTTGGCAGCTTCAGCCAACTGAGGGCCAACGCTCCTTCTTCATCTGCCTTTATGTAGGGAACATCTGCTGGGAACTTTCTTAGCTGTAGGTGTGAAATAAAAAATAACGGCGAAGAAAAAGGGCAACTGGGCGATCGGTTACCTTCGCTAACGAAACAGTCCTCGGTGGTCTGAGGTCAAGGATAAGGGAGGGATAATAAGGTCCCTTATCTCAGTGGTTTACTGGTGTGACTTAAGTCTTGAACAAACGAGTGCATAAGGGCACTGGTCATCAGCAGAGTAAGTAAGTAAGAGACCGGCTGTTGCCTCCCTGGTAAACAATGTTGAAAACCAAGAAGGCAGTGAAATGTAGAATGCGGATAACCGAGAGTAACTAAGCTGACTTCAGGCCAACTAAAGTTGATGGCACCAATTACTTCGAAAGTCTGTGGGAATACTCGAGAACCGCACCAAAGCAGGAGTTGCGGCCACTTTAGCCCCCATAATACAGCCAAGGGAAGCTGGCTACCATCTGGAGTGATCTGTGCTTTTCCAAATAGGTTTGCGTATCCACCTGGGCTGGGGGCAACTGCCGTAGCTGATAGACGAACAGCTGTTCATCGGGGGCGACTGCCTGGTATTAAGCCGCCGTGACCCAGGTCCAAATGGGTGACCTGAGATGGCAAGAGGTGCTGCCATAAGGCATTACCTCCCCGTTGAGGCATCTGCTGCACTGGCCGTGTCTTCTCTGGGCCAAAGGCTGTTCCAAAGGACCGTTCTAATGCTCTCCGAACGCACGGTGTGCCCAAAGGGCATGGGATACTTATGGTCTGGAATTGCACAGAAGGCAAATCTGAGGAGTCGGATCAGTGGAGCATCAGCCACACAGTGAAATTGCAAACCTATACAGGTTGACGACAAAATGGTCCAGAACATTCAGAATAATGGCAATGTCTTTATGGGATCAGGCCAAATGATTTACAACTGCTGCATTCACTGAGGTTACGAAGAGAAATATATATATATATATTAAAACTTACCAGAGATGCTAGGAGCTGAATCATCTTACTTCGAGAGCAAGATGCGACTTGCAGGCCACTGGATGGCCATCTCCAAGCACCAGGGTGTGAGGACCTACCCATCTGATGTTGCTTAGAGAAAGCCTACTGAGATCAATAGGACTTGAGTTAGTCATATCTAAATGGTGCCAGTAGGTCTTCTCTAAGTTAGGGATGTGTAAATCAGCAAAACAAGTTTGAATTTTCCCAGATTACTTCTCAAAGCTTGTTCAGAGAAGCTTTTCTACTTTGTGCATGGAAATCTGTGAGCATATTCATGTGTGTTTTTCCAAATTTATCTAACATCAATGCACATATTTGAAAGGTATGCATTTTTCCATTGATTAAAATGTACGTGTGCACATTTTTCAATGCACCTTCTTCAAATGTACACATGAGCTGAACACATAGTTTTGGTCTGCAAATCACATTCCAAGCTTGGAAACCTAGAAGTATAAGCTGGATGAAACCTGATCAAAAGTGAACTGGAATGAATTTCTTGCAGATCCCCATTCTAAGCATGACCCAGTCAGAAGCCAAACTATCAAACATGTGACAGATGCCAGCTTCTCAAGTTGCTTAGTGGTGGCCGATGGAAGGTGCCCTGGAGCTGCCTGAGAATTTCGATCTTTATTCATTTTGAGATAAACAGTTCAGATCCACAGTCGTGTAGATTCTGTGAGTACGTGGCATTTCCCCCTTTATCATTCAAGGCCCAGTTGATGCAGAAAGCTGCCTGGCTTCCCACGGGGTCATTTATTGGTCAACATGTTGTGGAGTGGCTTCAATGCCACAGAGTTCTCTGTCCACACTCAAATCTGACCATCCTGTCCTCATCTGAACCCCTTGAGCAGCCTCTGGACCTCAGGTGTTAACAGCCCGCTTGATAAATTACAGCAAAAGCAGCCCCCTCTGCTGTCGGGTGGACACCAGTTTCCTTTTGTGTCCTTAAACGGACTCCTTTTCAGAACTGCTGTCTGCTCTCATCCTGCACAGATCCAACACAGCTTGCATCAAAGGGTCTGAAGGAAAAGACATGTGACACTGCTCCTTCCTGTGATTTCACCTCATGACACAATTTGTTTCCAAAGGAAGAGAGTGCTTCCAGCATACAAAAAAATGGTGTTCCTTGCCCTGGAGCAAGCAATGCCTACAGCCAAGAGCTACACCCAATGGAGGGTGGTTAATGAAGGCTAATGCGGCATCCTGGCAACTTAAGATACCAAGATGTAGAAGCATATGCTGTATGTTTTGCTGTTTAGCTTTGGTTTTTCAAAATGTGCTCAAGGGTAGTGACCATCAATTCTCAAATTTAGGCTGCATAATGTAGTTACCTGTAGCTGAGCTAATGTGAAGTTGGCAGACACATTTTGGACTAGGACCAGGTAGACCTGGGTTCACAAACATTGTTCAGTTGTGAATTTCAAGGAATAATCTTGTTCAATCAAGCTTCCTAAGGAAGAACATACAGATGTAATCCACAGTGTGTATTTCAAATATCACTCAACTGTTGTGACCCAGCTCCCCTGTTATACTGCAATTCCTGGGTTGTTTAACCCAGGAATGGGCCGGGTTGAGGGCAACAATGACTGCACCGTCTCCTGTGTGCTCATTGTTGCTGCTTTTGGTTAACAACTCTGAAATGCAAACACAGACACTCTGGCTTGTTTGTGGATTAAACAATATTAACCTAACCACAGGCAAATATTGAGCTAGCTCTGAATTATTGAAGCCCTACAGAGATCCGGAAATTCTGGACAGGAATGGGCATTCCTACCTTGCTTCCGTAACTGGAAGGGGACCAGTGGGTGGGAACCAGCATTTTCACTCACACTTGAACACTCACGTGCGAACCGAGCCATGTTTCTTAGGTGAATCTTTGCAAAGTATTCCAGGGCACACCCACAACTGCTGTGCGCCTAGAACTCCTCACAGTCTAAGAAATGCAGAAATTCTTGTATAACAGCATCACTCCATATGTGCTTTTGAAGATGGCTCTGATTAGGGCTATGAGGAAGAACTGGGTTGGGGATATGCTGCTTCTAATGTGAACCAATGCAATTACCAACTATGGATCAAAAATTGAGGAAGGTGTTTAATTAAATAGGGACTATTCAAGTCAAGGAAGGTTTCTTAGAAATTTTCTGTACTATCAAACCTAGTCATAATGAATGTTAGTAGCCTGCAGATTAGATCTTTAGCATGGCAAGGTTCCCTGTCTACTTTCTCCTCTACTATTTCTGTCTTCAACTGCTCTCATTCCTCTCACTTTCTTCTCCGGCCCAGCTATCCTCAGTTCCAGCATTTTGCTTCGGACAGAAATCCCAAGCAAGCCACTTTGTTAAAGGAACATGCCTGCTTGTTGGAGTGTGCCGCGACTTTTCCACGACAGCAAAGGAGAATTCTCCCCTGTGCCATTTGCCTCTGCGCCGTCTTGTCATGCTCCTCTCCAAGTGGCCATTGGCAATGAAGCATTGCGCCTTCTCACTGCCGCTGTGTCCCACCAGACCCTCCTGATCTCTTTGTAGCTTGGCTTTCCTTCCCACTTCCCTTTGTCTAAGTTTTATTTTCAGCCATAGCATCTGCCTTAAAGCACAAGTGTTCATTTGGTGTAGTGGCAGGATTTCATAAACTTCCACTGAAATGGCAGTATAAAAATAACTACTTAGAGCTGTTATATTAAAGGACCTCCAAGAACTTGAGGGAAAGACTGTGGGGTTTTTGCTTTTGTTTTAAATTAGTCCTATTTTCAAATGAGTGTGATGGCAACACTTAATCTTCAGATGGCTAGTAGCACAACAAATACATTCTTATCTAATCTGCAGCAAATCTTTCCCCCACCCACTGCTGGGCCAGCTCAGAAACACGCCATCCTTTAAAAATTTATAACAACTGCAGCTAATAAAACCAGAGTTTGGAACCACCTTCGTTTATCTTTGTTGGAACTATATGAAGACATCAAAGGGAGCTTTGCCACCCTTGTCGGGAAATTGCAGTGCGGCAATAGGTTAATAACAGGATAGGAATCTTTTATTTCTTGATGTGGTGCTGGCACAACTCTCCGAATATACAGACTGGGAACATTTATGGGAGCTACTGGTGGGTGTGGATCTAGCTTGCATGGGAGTGAGAGACCTTCAGTTTCGATCGGGACGAAAGGGTGAACTTCAGGACTAGTGAGGACAAGACCGTTTGCTCGTGTGAGCCTTCCAGCTGCCTTGTAACCCACAGGCCTTAAGTTGGTGCAACAGGGCTGAACATCACCAGGGTGTGAAGCGACGCTGCCTGTGTGTTCTCCTGCCAGGCTTCTTTATGAGGTTGTGTTGCTCAGCCTCTCCAGTCTTGGACTGGCTCAGCAAATCTTTAAGTTGAAGCCATTTTAAACCTCTTAAAGATTTAATAGCATTATCTTGCCCTCAGTCTCTGCTGCTCTAGGTGTAACCATGGGATCTGCTCATCTTAATGAACTATATTTTAACAGAAGGTCATCTTGCCTGCCCGTACATCAGAAAAATGTGTAATTTTGGCTCATGCCGCTGTTTTACTCTTTTTCTGCTGTATGACATTCCTGGCAATTGAGACTTTGCAACCTCTCTTAGTATCCAAACATATAATCAGAAGAATCATATTTAACCTTTTCTATCTATTCAATAGGAAACTTACATACTCAGCTTTTCTAATGCATTCTCAGTACTTCTCTTTAGAAAACCCACATTTCCTCTTCTCTGTAACATTACATCCATCCATATTTATGGATAGACTGTTTTAAGCGATGATTTCTGCCAACTGGCCTTTTTAACAGAGTCTAATTAGTGTCTGCAGATTCCTGGAGGAATTCCCTCTGATTCCTATGCCCTTGCTCATTTAACTTTATTTAACCTGAAAGCACAGACTTATATGAAGCAGCTCTGTGCTCTTCCAAGCTCTGATCAATACTCTGATGTATATTACTTGGAAAGAAGGTTCACAACACCCTTTTCTTCAATATCCAACATTGTGAAGTCTGCTGGAAGGAACGTCTATTCCAAGGAAACTTTTATGTCAGTTTTAAAGGGCTCCCCTTAACACAACATTCTGTTCTAAGCAGGCTCCAGAAAGTTTTTTGTATCTCATTTTTTGTAACATCCTTGGTGGTGTTATCTACTTGTGTACCCTACAAATATTTTATGCGCACAAATGGACAAGCATAATTGAGTCCTTAAGTGCTACTAAAATAGTCTTTAATAATGTAGGTTACAGAAGGAACACCTTAAAAAGAGCTCAGAGAGAATGATCTCTTTTTATAGAAGCTCTTCTATCATTTTTTATTCTTGTCTACACCTTCCCTTAATTCTGTTTCCTCACTAATTAAAAAATGGACCTGCTACATGTTGATGCTCCAGCCTTTTCATGAATTATTCTACTGCTTAGTTATCTCGGCTTCCTGTTAGAGAACATTCCTGCTGTTCCAGAAATTCAGAAACTTCAAAATGCATCAGGCCCGTCTGACACTGGGAGTAAACACTCAAAATGAGAGTAGCTTGTTGCATAAAAAGGGGCAATAAAAGTAACAGATAACCAATTTGTTGCTGATTTCTTTTCCCCTGCTTCTTCATAGCATGGGCTGTTTTCATAACTTAGTTCATTGCAGCCCTATAAAACTTATATAAGAAATAAATAAAACATCCCAAATAAAGGCTACTTATGTGTATAGGGCCACTAATCAAAGTTGTCATTACAACATCTAAAAGCTTTCCCCAGGGTTCATTTTCCTGTTTTATCTGAGCTCTACTTAAGTACCATCTCCATAGGCAGAAACGCTGCTTGAGATACTGTGGTAGGCAGAATCTGATGGCACAGCAGCCAAATTAAATTAGTCACAATAAAATTGTGAGGATAAAGAAGGGCTTAAATCAAAACCATAAATAATTGAAATTGACTCATCTTTTAAACAAAAAGAAGTGGGAAGATAATAATTTGAAGAAATAAAACAAAGCAAAAAGAAGATGCTTAAAATCAGCTTTCACGAAGTGCAGCATAAAACGCAAGAGTATGATGAATACAAATGTTAGCACAACTTACGTAACCTGCGTAAAGGGGATCGGGGGAGTATTTGCATATACTGGGGGTTATATCACATGTTCAGACTTGGTAAACATTTTGGCTTTCCACGCAGAGGCGGATGTCTGAGTGCCTATTTAGTGACCCATCGTGGTGGCGATTCCTGGGATGCTTAACCCAAGAATTATGGGGACAAGTGGAGCCGGCAAGCCACTGGTGCTTTTAATTAACGGCTCATCTGCCTCACCACGATGCTCGAAGGCTTCTTGTCGCAAGGATCAGTCAACAGTGCCGAGCCACAGGGAGAGGCGGCAGAACCCCTTGAGGGCACTTCGTGATGGTAACATGCCTTGCCTGCAGGAAGCCCTTACAGGCAGCGCCATTGCAGTGTTTAGAGGCAGGGCCACACTTCATGTTCACCACCCAAAATGTTCACCCACAGCCCTTCGCATGGGTATCGTACAGGTGCACTCGACTGGAGGCAGGATCGGCAGCAGTCGTTCCCCCCCACCCGGTAGCCATGCCAGAAGGGTGGGGGGGATGCAAGGTTCTGTGGCGTGTGGCTTGTTCGCATAATGCGAAACCAGTTAGTCATGGTGTCTGAATGCAGCCCACGTGCAAAATGGCCCTTAATTACGTGCCATTTGCTGGGCCGTGTGCTGCACTTGAGCGCTGCCAGGCGCTGGGGCGAAGCTGCCCCAGCGCGCAAGTCTCCACCTGCCGGCTAGGCAGCAAAGACGGCAGAAAGGGAGCGTGTGCCATGGCCCGTGGGGGCGCCGGTTTCTTCCCACCAACCTTCCAAAGCAGAGAAAACGAGGAAGCGTCTTGTGGCACCTGAAAATTGCAGCCCGCTTCGTTGTACGTGTGATCTGGGCTGCAGTGATAGATTCACAAGGGGGCAGGGAGGGGAAGGTCATACGTAAACAGTGAGGTCAACGGAAATTTGACGCACACAGTTCTGAGGGTGATAATAATGCTATTAAGAGCGGCCATTCACAAAAGTGCTGTTACTCACAACACAAATGGCTTGGCAAACCAGTTAGCACATGCAGAGAGGTAAAAGTTTGGTTTTTTTAAATCACACTACATGTATTAATTGGCTTATGCAAGACCAATATGTTTGTGGCATCTGCATCAACTTTTTATGGATGCCACCATTAACGTCATTATCACTATCTGTAATTTCTACATTATATCTTCATCTGATCTAACTTACAATGCCAACACCCCCTGGTAACTCTTGTGCATACGTGTGAGGGGTGGAGGAGGGAGAGAGAAATGAAGGATAGTGCTTCATGTATCTGAAGAGGTGGAAAGTGGCCCACAAAGGCTTGGGCCATCAATGCACTAGACTTCACAGTGTCACCAGGTTCTTCATTTTCCTGCAAAAGGCATGTAGCTTCCTGCCTAGAAACCATCAAATGTAGAACATGATACAGACACATTCTGAAAACCCCCTCCAGGAATAAGCTGGCTTAATCGGAACTTCACACAGACATGCAAGCTGTATGTTAAGGGTTCCACTGGCTCCATTACTCCTAGTTTCGTGATCACAGTTTTACAGTGTATTACACAGAGCATCGCTGCTAAAGAAAAGAATATTCCTGATGAATTTGTATTCATGAAGAAGAAAGGCCGAATTAATTTGGAAGATAACCCTACTTCACCTCTTTTGTTCTTTTTCCCGGAGAAAAGTTCAACTGTAAGGTCATTGACATATTAAAATAACCATTTCTATCTCCTATTGTACCTTGGTTCAAGGCGTGCGTTACAAAAATAGTATATTACCCAGGATAGAGAGGAAAGCTTTGGCTCTCTCCGGCTCAGCAGGGCCGTCTTTCAACTGCGCCTCACAAAGGTACATTCCAATGTCAGCAGAGGTTGGGTTGGCAATAGTGAGACGTCTCCCAAAACTGCTAACTCCGCTGGTTATTTTGATTCCGTTCCTCTTCCAGGCTACACTTAATTTCTCAGTGGGCCTGTGAGGGTAAAAGTCACACCAATTATTACCGTGAATTATGTTATCTGCAGTAATAACACAGTGAACATATGACTCACGTAACTCTTCCAGGGCTGCAGACACATTGAGCACTGGACACTTGGAAATAAATCCAGGCACAGCTCTGAGGTCTTACGCAGAAGCATGCATCAGAGAGAAGCAGGGCAGGGGAGGCGGAGGCGGAGGGGGGAACAGCGTGGCTCTGAGCAGGCCTGGCTTCCCATTTGAGCAGTGCAACTTTTAAGCGGTAATGGTTTGCTTTGCCTAAGCAAAGGCTGCTAAAAATACACACCACTCGGGGGACACAGCTGTATGGGAGGAACTTTAATTATAACTCAATTTTGGAGACTGCATTAAGTGTTATCAAGAATGTCTGTGCTTTCACAGGGAAGGGGGAATCAATGGGCCCTGGAAAGATTTCAGATCCTTCTCTCTCTTCCAGGGGTACCTCCCCCCACCCCGCCCACTGCATCCATAGGTAACATTTCAGAGGTCTAGTCTTAAAGAAAGCAGCATTAAACATTATTGTGGCGCCTGAGGAACTGCCAAGCAATCGAAGATTGACTTTTCTTGCTCAAACTCATTCGATGACCATGGAGACGATGTATAAAAAGTCGCCTGATGAACAGGGCTAGGACTGATGCTTAACCTGCTCGCATGGGAGACACCATGTCTCTAACAGTACCCAAGACAAGTTACCTGACTTTGATGTTCTGACTCTTCCGTGGTTCGACATGAATAATATCGACCCAATCCTTTTCCTGCCTTGCAACCCATTCCCACAGCACAGGGGGAATTAACCTATCTCACGGCAGAGCAAAATTAACAAACAAAAAGCAAACCCTTGCACTGTTCTGGGACTCATCTGAGAGATGTGCTAATGACCAGGGAAGTGGCAGCCAGGAATAAAACTGAGCTAACCGGACCTAGATTCCCGGCTTCTTGAGAGAAAAAGCAAAAGGTGTCATCCACCATGAATTCTCATGCTTTGGATTGAAAAAGGCATTCTCTCCCCTATTTCAGGCTTCATGCGTTCCTTAAAATGAGCGTTCAGTTTGCTTTGGCTATTTCACATTACCTGCCATCAACCACGCATTCCAGGACGGCTTCGTTACTTCCGGCCACCGCGCTGGTATTACATGGAGGAATTACGATCACAGGAGCCATGGCGGCGGAGGAGGTGTCGGCACCTACGAACAAGGAAGCAAGCACTCCGTGAGCGTGTCGCGGGCCTGGCCTAGTAGCGGCGTTCGCACCGACCTGGTGATTTCCGTCAGCAGCGTGGAGAAGGGCAGAGGGTCTCAGCACCACACGGACTGAAGCTGTGGCCACCGCTTTGATTGGCTGCAGCTCAGAGAGGCGGGTGTGCACACGGCCAGGATCGAGGGATTAAGCAGCCCGGCTGCTATGAGATCCCATCACTCAGCCATGAGCTGGAAACAGGTTGGGAGCAGCAGTTCCCTTAGGACTGGATTTGCCACCTGGTAGGCACTCCAGCCCCTGACCTGGGAAGGGGCCTTCAAGCAATGCTTCTGGGACCCCTTCTGGGACATCCAAGCATGCAGGGTGGCCATGTGTCAGAGGAGAGCCTCCCAGTTGAAAGGCTGCTAGAAGACTATGCTCTGCCACGAAGGCATCCTCTGAAAACTTTCCAGTCCCTGTCTAGATTTAAAATAGATAAACGTCAGAACATAAGGAGAGCCGTGCAAAGGTCCATCTGGTCCAACATTCCACACACAAGGGGACAACGGAAGGAAAAAAGGAGGAAAAGCTGAGCCTTGAAGATGACTTCCAAGAGCTCCTGGCCAGGAGACTGAGCAAGGCACACAGATATCATGGCCACAACTGTCTGCACCAGGGCTGGATGTGCTGTATTTCCGCAGTGGGCCTTCCTTAGCTGCTGAGCTACAGAATGCCACGCACCTTGGAGCCGTCAGTCCAGAGAGTTCATGTTGCCCAGGCTGCATCTACTACATAATATATATAATCAGGTCCATGAGACTGAGATTAAGGTTGCATTCCCATGGCTGTTAGATGGGGTCTTGCGACGGTGCTCAGAGCTGGGATGTGGGACTCCACGTGTGGAGCACCTTCCTTGCGCCCTTCGACCAACACAAAAAGGGCCATGAGGCTCCACTGGGATGAGCAGTGTCCTGGTGGTAGCTCAGCCTGCCCTTGCAAAGCTCTGCAGAAGATGTGGAGGTCCACAGCTGACCATCTAAGTGGGAAGACAGGAGAAGTCCGGAGCTGACCTCGGGCTCCCTGCTCTTCCCACCACCGGAATCCTCTAAGTGAGCCCCCTGTTGATCTTTGTTCTTCCTCTCCTGTCTTTTATGGCCAACACTTAACATGCTTGTTTCAGAAATCCATACAGGTCAAAGGTATAAATACAAAATATAGGTGACAGTAGGTAGACAAGACCCGTCTGCAACCTCCAGTGGACGTGTCTTGCAGGGACTAATAACTAATAACTTGCAGTAACTAATAACACAAACATAGGGGTGTTACGAGTACACCGAACCGTCCATGTTTTCATTGGGAAAAACTGGATAAACTAGCCAGCTTCAAAATGCCACCCCAACCTTACACAGATCTTCATTAGAGAACAGCGCTTCAATCCAGTCATTTTCTCCTGCTTTCATTCTGCTGTGCCAAACCCTTTTATTTCAGTACTTGAAGCTTCATATCGATGGAAGCAAATGGCTCCTATTTGCTCCCAAGCAAAATGAAGGCAGGCCCCGTTCCTAGAGAACAAATACATTGAGCTCAAACAGGGTTTTGTTCCCTCCACTACCAAGCGCGTTTATTTTTATCAGACATTTGCTGACTTATATTTTTAAGATCGTTTCATGTTTTGTTTAATCTTACTACTTCCACACAGTTTCAAAAGAGCCTGCCAGTACTTGAGTTCTTTAAAAAGATTTTTATACACCAGGGAACAAATATGAAATTAACAAAGAGGCATATCACAGCAACTTCAACCCTCTTCCCTTATCAGGAAAGCAAATAACCCAAATCTGCTTCTCTTTTGTGAGTCTACAAACTGTAAATAATTTAGGTTATGCAACTCTTGGAGAATGCTAGGAAAAATCCCACACACACACACACACTGAAAAAAGAAACTTGCCTCCACAGGCTTGTTTCTTTTTAAAAATTTCAGTGCATTTAACAAGTGAATTAAAATACCAATGTGTTTTTGTTTTGCTGCAAGCTATTCATTTGGGAAAAAACACAGCATTGTTTTCCCTACATAAAAAGAGTATAATAAAAGTTTGCTTAAAAAAAAAGAAAAAGAAAGAAGGATTGCAATAAAAGAGTTACAGGGGGAAAGAAAATTAAACTACATATAAACCAATGAAAATCCAAACTGGTTCATCAAACACTATACAATAAGGTGGCTTAGCATTATAAAATTTACCATTATGAGCCAATGCAATTTAGAACTGGCAAGTATAAAGCTCCTTTTCTTTCAATCCCTGGCACCAAGATCTGTCATGAAACAGCAGAAACTGGGAGGAACACTTTGGTGTGTTTCACTCCCTGATCGTGCACTCTGTCTGCTCAGAGGTTCTGTTAAGACCAGGGTGGCTTTCTTGAAGTGCGCACTCAATGGAAGCATGTTTTAAAATGCGACTTATGGGTGAAAGTGAATATGGATAACGATATATAGCACAGGACTACTTTTGTTTTTATTGTGGTATCAATCTTAAGGATGAAACAAAGCATCGTAAGGGGGGGTTGGACGCGATGTCCCTGGAAGGTTGGAAGGTGTCTTCTGATTCTACTTGCAAAGATCCTATGAAAGAACAAAAACCAAGGCCAGAATTCAAATAGCTGGAGGGTTGCAAGTCACAGTTTTCTTACTTCTTTCTTGGAATGGATGCCTGCATAGCTCCACCTGCCCACCTACCTAGCAAGCCAGTTTTTCAACTCCTCAGCATCACAGCAAATGCAATTCTGGTGTGTGCGTGTGTCAGGATGGGTGATGCTCCAAGTCCACCCCTGCCCCCCAAACCTGAAATTAATTGTGAGGTTCTTCAGATCCCTGGCAGCAGGGATGTGAATACCAGCAGGCTGCTGATTAAGGCTCTGGTGAGAGGGTCTGGCACTTATGAACGGACTTTCACGGGGAACGAGCCGTGCACCGTGCTTAGGTTTTCCATATCCGAATTGGGTTATGTGATGGCGATGACAAGAATAGGAGCACAAGCCCAGCCCGCCTGGTTTAACGCCTGGCTTTTCCCATTTGCAAGGAACCCAGGGGTGGCCTACAAGATTCTCCTCCCCTCCCCGTTTGTCCTCACAACCTCAGCCCCTCGCAGGAGGGAGGAACGAACGCCTCAGAGTCACCCAGTGGCTTCCATGGCTGAGTGGGGGCTAACGCTCAGATTGCCTGAGTCCTGGTCTCACACTCTAACCACTGTGCCACTGCATGGTGTTTGCGATCCTCAGTCGTAGATCTGTTCCATTCACAATAGTCCGTATGGTTAACAGTCGTCTCTTTATCCCAAAAAAATTAAGAAGAAATAATGGTATGTATATTCCGTATAGGTACCATGAAAACAAAGAAGGCATACGATACAGGATTACAAAATATGTGGAGGGAACCGGCCTTTATTCAAATTTTCATCTTCTGTACTAGGTTAACTGGGACAAAGCAGCTGAAACTATAGAATGCCTGGAAGAGCTGATGATATGGGGAATTTTTTCTTCCTTACAGAAACGGAAATTTGGAATAAGTGAAACGAAGCAATAGGAAACTTGGCTATATTGTTTGCACTCAGAAATAACGTCCTGTAGACTTAGCCGCACGTTATTATACACATAGAAAAGAAACATGCATTTCTGGCGAAGCAAATCCTTTTTTAAAAGGACACTGCCGTTACCAGTTCATTATCCTCCTCCTCCTCCTCCTCATGCTCATCTTCACTTCTATAGCACACAATAGCCAAAACTGTCTGGGCAGATCACCACAATCCATGAAAACACAAAACCGAAGTGCAATAAATACCACATAGGATTTCCAATGTACAACACTTAAATAAAAAAATTAAATCCGTTTAAGCAGCTGAAAGAGTTTCTCCCAACACAACTGGGCTGACAGCAGAGTGCCTCTCCCCCGCCCACCCGCCCTGCGATTAAACGCCACTGAATGGTCACTGAAAAGGACCGTCTGCATCTCCAGCCCATGGGGCCTACCACCAGAAGGACTGCCTCTTTGGGTCTTAAACAATGAGAATGATTAGAATGAAGTGGTACATGCTGAAAGGTCAACAGACGAAGTATTAATCTGGCCATAACGCTTGCCTCCACCTGCAATGCCATGAAGACTGTTTCTCAAGCCTTCGAAGCCTTCAAAAGGCGGCAAGTGAGTGCATTTGTGGTGACCCCCAGCAGTTCAGTCTGGAAGAGAGCCTCTTTGTGCAATAAATAGATAAGCGCAGGAGCTGGGCGGCCTTATTGTGCCTGCAATGTGCTGGATATAGGCCGGGCCATCATTTGCTACTCATTGCTAATTGCAAAGAGAACAATGGCAAAGAGCATTTGTGCTTCTCTCATTTTCATTCATACTTTGTGCTAGAAGAAGCCTATTAGCAAAATTAGTCATCTGATAATGGTTTCTGAACATGTGGGGTTAAGATGAGGCTGATAAAGACCTAATATATTTCCTTTGAATCCTGACATAACAGCAGAATAACACTAGCTTTTTAATCTAATGGAGAACTAATGTGCTTAGGCTACTAAAGAGTGTATAATATGTTGCATTGTTCAATTCTATTAAACTCAACCAACTGTTCCATGTGGCCTGTAGGACATCAGTTGAAGAAGGTAGTTATTAGCAAACATGTAACAAATACATAAGACTTCACACTTCCGAAAAGCGCATTGCCAGCTCCTTTTGGATGAAAAGGTAATTTGCATGACGAACTGGTTACAAGTGCTCATGAGAGGCCCATTCCTAGCTTAGCCTGAATCTGCTTGTAGGAAGTCAACCATACGTTGGAGGTTGTTTACTGGCTCCAAAAAGGCAGCCTTTAAGTTCATATTTGCAAGGCGTGATGGCCAACATGGTTTTTGCCAGTCCCCACCCTATCCGCACCCTCTTTCAAAAGCTACAGATATTGGAGAAATCTGCACTTCAAATGAGCTTAGATTTCTGTGAAGTTACCTGTAGATTCTGTAGCTGATT